CCCCAAAACCCCAAAACCCCAAAACCCCAAAACCCCTTACTGATGAGTCCAAATTGAAATCACTCTGAAAATTGCGCAGTTTGCCAATATTATATAATTTGCACAGAATCCGCACTTAATGGAGCCATCCGAAGAAATCCCAGCTTTCGAAGTGTCATGCTTACTCGAAAGATGGAAAGTGTACTTTCCATGTGAACTCAAGCCTGAAAGATTCGATGTAAGTGCTCCTGCTATGTTTAGAGAGAGTCCTTCCAACACCTCGCTGCTAAAATATGGTTCGAGACCTTCAAGAACCCAGAAAATGATAAATACCTTGAGTATGAAGTTGAACAAGAAAACAACGATCGAGTCGTTGTCTATGTCAACTACTCAACTCTGATCAACTGTGGAGACAACAATGTCACTCAGCTTTGAAGCTATGTGTATGAGAACCCTGGACAGATCATCAACACCTTAGGAGTGGCTCTTGACTGAGTGAGGTATTATGTAAAGAAGATCCCGAAGCGCAAAGAAATCAAAGTAAGTCTGCTCTGTCATGTTTAGCCTAGATTCACCAACTACAACAAGCTGTTTCCGCTGAGTAGTGTCAAAGCTCAGTGACTAGGCCACTTCATATGTATCAAAGGAACTGTATTGCGTATTTCTACGATCAAAGTGCTTGTCAAAAGCATCATTTTCACTTGCAATGACTGAAAACAGAAAATCAGCATGGACTTACTTGACGGAGTCTGGAACACTCCGAACAGCTGCACCAACATGGACTGCAGGTCGAGGTTCTTTATTCCTGACAAAGTTGGAGCCAAGACTTCGTTCTACCAGCGACTTCGACTGCAAGAAATTGAAAACGATATCAAAGACTTAAATGCAGGCAAAATGCCTAAGTGCATGGATGTTGAAATCAGAGATGACTTGATCGACAAGTGAATCAGCGGTGATGTAGTAACAATAGCAGGGATCTTGAAAACCGAAATCATGAATGACTTCAAGTCGAGAGGCGCAAGAGCCGGCAACAGAACAACTGGTCTCCACACATCATACCTTGACGCCAACTCCATCATGAACTCCAACATCAACACCATGGGATCGACCAACTGAGAAAGTGTTGACCAGAGAGATGTCGCGAACTTTCTGAGCCTGGCTGAAAGAGGCGACGAGTTGTTTCCGTTATTCGTCAAAAGTGCCTGCCCATCGATATATGGGAACGAACTTGTAAAGGCTGGACTTGTGTTGAGTCTGTTCGGTGGGACCGATCTGAGGTTTAAGAAACAACAGTTCAGCGATCTTAACAATAATGACAACCTTGCACAAATGGATGATGAAGAAGATGTCGAAGATGTCAGCTTGGCCATGAGACCTGACATCCATGTGTTGATGATTGGTGATCCCGGAATGGGTAAATCCCAGATGCTCAAACACATCAACTGCGTTGCTCCAAGAGGCGTCTACGTATGAGGTAACAGCACAACCAATGCAGGACTGACGGCCACCCTGATCAGAGACGGAGGGTCCAATGAGCAGAACCTCGAAGCAGGCGCTCTTGTTCTCAGCGACCTCGGAGTCTGATGTATTGACGAGTTCGACAAAATGAGCGGAGACCAAAGTGTAAGTCCACCTGACTCATTTATAGGCATTACTTGAAGCAATGGAGCAGCAGACTATTTCCATTGCTAAAGGAGGCATCATCGGATCTTTATCAGCAAGATGCACCTTGATGGCATGAGCAAACCCAGTCAGTGGACACTACCAACGGTCCAGATCCATCATTGACAACATCAGAATCAGCAATGCAATTCTCAGTAGATTCGATTTGATATTCTTGATGCTTGATGAGCCAGACCTCGACAAAGACAGGCTGCTGTCTGAACACATCATGAAGGTAAGTCTCACTGTCACATCAATAGCTACATGCAAGAAAAGGGAAGCGCAGGCAGGATGACTCAAATGGTTACTCTCAGATGAGCTCTTCTGGCATGGGGTACGGATCTGAGTCAGGCTACAACACAAGCTCTTATGAAGATCCGTATCCACGTAAGCGAAGCTACAACACCCATGGAGATCGCTCCAATATTTACGGAGCTTCGGATACTGACATTGACGGTGGAATCAGACCTGAAGAAGACTACGAAACCCTTGTCAACTATCTGAAGCGTGTCATGCACCAGATGGACGAAGACCAGATCCTGACTCCAGAGTTCATCAAGAAGTATGTGACTTTTGCAAAGCGGACATGTTTTCCGAAGCTGTCCAAAGAAGCCTGTGAAATTCTGAAGTCATTCTACATTTCACTCAGAGTGAACTCGAGTGGCCACAACTCGATTCCAGTAACTTCTCGTCAATTGGACTCTATTATCAGGCTGTCACAAGCTAAAGCCAAGCTTGAGCTCAGAAGCATCGTCACACGAGAAGATGCTGAAATCGTTGTCAAACTGATCCAAGAAAGCCTGTTCGAAACCAACTACGACCTGGTTGGCTTCAAAGCTACCATTGACAAAATTGCTGGCAAGAAGAAAGTCGACAAAGGAGAAGTCGATGTCAACAACATTGGAAGTCTGAGTCAACCTAAGCAGACCAAGATCTTCATTGAAAAACTGAAAGAAATTGCCACTGAAAAACAAGACAAGTCGTTCACCCACACCCACTTGATGGAGATTTCAAGGTCTCTGAACATGCAGGTTGGAGACTTCAGACAGTACATTGACAAGCTCAATGCAAACAACGTGTTGTTGATGAAAGGACACAAGATATACGAATTATGAGTGGGACTGTAACAGCTTAATTGTATTCAATTTATACCTTACCAATTGGGGTTTTGGGGTTTTGGGGTTTTGGGGT